AACGGAGGTGCTTACGTGCCGCAGGAGATATTGCATAATGTTCTTTTCCTTTAGGCTAGGGATTGCTGTCACAGAGGAAACATCTTTATATAAGAACTACTATTACAGAGAAGGACATGTAGTTCTCATTGTATATGAAGATTTCACTTCTGGCATGTTTTGTTCACTAATGTATGGAAAATGTTTCTAAGGATGCAGCTTTCGGCCTGCCTTATTTATTAAACCTCTTGGAATTGCTTCAAGTGATGTCAGTAATTCTGCTTTATTATTTAGTGATTCCCAAGTACAATAATGGAGGGAATATTTTGTTTGTTTTAAAAAAAAAATAGGAATACATGTTTTGTGGAGAGATCTGACAGAGCTTTTATAGCTGATATGCATAAAATACCTACGTATCTGAATTGTAGGTAGTTTATCGAGTCCATTTGTAAAGGGTTTGGCAGGTGAAAACTTATTTTTGCACCTATGGGATGTTAAAAAATTAAGCAAACGGGAAAAGAGTTTTGCTGGAATGCTGCAGTTCATCTGTGGGTCACTGGCATGGGAGTTGAGGTGCACGTGATGTGTTAATTGAGAGAGGAAAAACTGGAGACGGGAATTGATTTAGAACAGTGGGTGTCTATCAGGGAAAGAAACACAAGCGTAAACCCCCCAGCCATATTGGTCAAAATACAGAGAAATACAGATTGTTGGACAACAGGTGAGGTGTTTCAGCTTTTAGGACGTTGATAGCTATTTTTCTCTGTTCCCAAAATCACTGTGAGATGATGATCTAACGAACAAGAATATTTTATATTCACAAGCAGACTCTTTTTCCTTTCAATAGTATGAAACAGGGTTTGAAGCTCAGTCAATAAGGGTATTGAATAATGACGTTTGAGCAATTTTTTTTTAAATTTTGAAACTTCTTTCCAGTAAAAAGGTGTGAAACAAAACTTTCTACTGCTTACAAAAACTATAGTAGCAGAATGCTTCTTCTTTTTTTAATGAAAATCCTGATTACAAGCCACAAAAACAGAAAGCTGTTCTGATATGCTTATCACACTTATGTGGTTAATTTTTAAAATTTTTAATTAAAAAAAAATTCCTGAAATGCTAACATTATGAAAATTCTTATTCTAAAAAGCCATTTTCAATACAAGGCTATTTTAAGCTGAAAATGTTTTGCTGTCTTGAATGACTGAGACCTAGTGGTGTATCTGCTTTGGTGACTGGTTGCAACTGCAGCATGAGCCTGGTTACTGCTACCATGAGCACTTACGAGCCCCTTTGCAATTGCCATTCTCCAAGGAAAATGTCTGGATGCAATGAAGGCACAGAAACAAGGGTAGACTGACAGCTGAAAGGTAGATGGGTTGGTGGAGTACATGCCACTGCCTTTCTCCTCCCTATTGCCTGTTAGGCATTCTTTTGCATGTGGGCTGTTGTTACACCACATTAAATTTTGTTAATAGTCAATTCCTACAAACTTCATTCCTTTCACTGTGATTTCAGTAAGTTACTGTCAGCCCTGACATGACAGGGTCAGATTCCTGACTGGCAAAAAATTGTCTTACTGTCCTAGCCTTGACAATTTACTTTGATGAAAGATCTGCTTGTAGGAGTTTTGCCCCAGATAAGATGGAAGAATATAGAAAAATTCAGCAAAAGTCAACAAAATAATTATGTTCTTTGCTGTACAGTGCTGCATGAGCCTTCAAAATTCAGCTTTCCAGAGGTGATATGTTTCTGTTTGTTGGAATGATATATGGATATATTTATAAATTATACATTTATAAAATATAAAATTTTTGGAACAAAATGTTTACACTGACAACAGTTTTTTTCTGTTTTAGAAATGTGCTAAATATATAGAAGTAAATTTACTGATAGCAAAAGAATTTTCTAGAAAAAGCACCCAGTACCATTCTGAATACCTGACAAAAAAATATTTTTTTATGTATTTTAGCCAAAGTGTCGATTTATGGGTTGCTAATTTCAGCATGCTGGATTTTCACTTGGTCAGGTACAGAGTTCGGTACCACCTCTGAACTTAAAAGTCTTGCGATTATAATTCTTATCTCAGATGATACTTCCCTCAGAGTGTGGCTAGTATGTGTTTTCAGTGGAGGTAACCTTGGCTGAATAATGAATCGAAGTAGGCTCAGGCATCAGTTGCTAATGATGCTGCAGAGAAGATGTTTCAGCAGATTTGTAAATGTTATCACCCAAAGAAAGACTATGTAGTGAGCTGGGATCATTTTAAAGGATGAGAGAGGTTTCATTTTACAAAGAAAATACTTTATCTAGGGTTAGTCAGAAGTATTTATTTAAAATTTTACAAAAGTTCCTGAAGTCCTTAGGGCACCCCCGACACAAAGTTCTACTTCAGCATACCGATGTATTAGGTGGACTTTCAAGAGGATGAATTTGCATTTTAAAATATGAGTTTAATCAGCTGGATATTGAAGACTTGAAAGCATTTATTATGAGGACATTTTATTATAATACACCTGTAGGCTAAAAATGAAGACTGCTATTCCTTAGTGATTCTGTGCTCTCCTAGCATAGATTTGGTTTATTGTCACAAAAGTTGTTAAAATACTGAGCTAAAAATATGTTGAAATCAAGTGGATCAAAGTTGGATGTGGTCTGAGAGGTAAATCACTTCTCTTTCAGGTGCTGGGATGCTGTTCAGGCCAAGACATTTGACTCAGATTAAATTAATTTAGTTGTCCCATCTCACATAGTTTCAAACAGTGGGATTTTCTGCTTGAGAGAGGTGGGAAATGGAGCTAGCATGAATGATGACTCATTTCTCACCTTTAGGTGGTCTTTTCAGGCTTGACCTTATTTTGAGGGAGAACTGAGAAAAACAAATGATCCTACTTATTTTGTCCTTGGCTTCTGAGTTAAACAAAACAAAACAAACTTGTCCCAGTATTCTACTTTTCCAGTCAAGGGTGTGCAGGATTTGAGACAAATGCTCGAAATGTTAAAGTTCTCTCTATCTGAAGAATTTGCTCATTTCTGTACTCCTTTAATTACATAAATGCTCTACTTAACCTATTAAGTAGAAGTTCTTTTAGCTATTATTAAAGACAAAAATGAACAAAAGGTATTTATTCCTTTTTTGGTGATACTTGCCTGATCCATATATAAGTTTAGATACATCTGAACAATGTACTGTGTCTACTTTTTGAGTCCAGATCTACTTTCACTTGCACAATTGTGAAACAGAAATGAAACTGGCATATTTTAGGGCTTAGTTCTGTAAACCTCAAATTAATAAAAATCCTTGTATGTTTAGTTATTTAGATGAATGAGTCTGCTCTCATGAGTAATGACTGTCTGCCTCTCTTCTTAATGTGTTGTTTGCTCATATTATCTGTCTTATAATATTACAGATCACCCATTTCTGCAATGTGAGTATTACATTTACCAATTAGGTTCTGTAAAAGACAAAGAGATAGGTTCTGGGTTTTGTTGCTTAAGGTCTAAGCATTCTTATTTAGCTGCTTTTCTTCCCCCCGCCCCCTCCCTTTTAATTGCAAGACATTATGGTCATAATCAGATGTGGTGAATAGATACCATTTGAGGATATATTTTGAACAGAAATCCTTTTTGGTTATCTAGTGATTCCATCTATTTGAAATTGATGGCCTTTTGTTTGGGAATAAGTATCGATTGTTGAGTTTGGGTATCCACACACTTCTGTTGAGCTAAGAGAGTCCAGTGGAGGGCCATGGAGGTGATTAGAGGACTGGTGCATCTCTCATACGAGGAAAAGTGCTTATAAATATCTTACAGGTGGGTTTCAAGAGGATGGGGCCAAACTCTTTTTAGTGGTGCCCAGCAACAGGACGAGGGGCAACAGGCACAAACTGAAGCACAGGAAGTTCCATCTGAACATGAGGAAGAACTTCTTCACTTTGAGGGTGATGGAGCACGGGAACAGGTTGCCCAGAGAGGTTGTGGAGTCTCCTTCTCTGGAGATACTCAAAACCTGCCTGGACGTGGTCCTGTGCAGCCTGCTCTAAGTGACCCTGCTTTGTCAAGGGGGTTGGACTAGATGATCCCCAGAGGTCCCTTCTTAACCCCACCATTCTGTGATTCTATGATTCTGTAACCACAGCACAAAATTTGAAGTTAGTGCTGGCTTTCTTCTGGCTTCATAATACAGGAGAGTACCTACTTTAGCATAAACCCTGCTGATACAAATGTAATTCATCAGCATTTTCTGACAAAGCTTGAATCATTAGAGTGAGTTTGCAGCAATTAACACTTTCTGTCCTTGTTGGTCCAGTACTAAAAAAATCAAGGCTGGATTTTCTGTGCTGTTGAATTGTTGCCTTAGATTGCAACTCCACTATGAATTTATGCTGGGCTACTTCCTTCTCGTGCTTCTGACTCATGCTGGTGTATTTGTGTCCATATGTTGGATCAGATTTAGGAACTGATCCAGTTAAACTAATTTAGAAAAGCAAAACAAAATTAGTTCTAACTTACATCAGTTCCCTAATCAGGTTTGTTGTGTTACTGCATTTGTGCTGGGATAAAAGAAGGCTATTGACAGAAGGAGCAAGCAGTGAAAGGTACTGAAGGAGGAAGAATTACTTGTCTCTGGGCCAGTGCCAGGCTTTTGCTGATGTAAAGTGTTCATATAACTGGGATCTTAGATTTATACTGGATCCCAAGGAGTGCCAACAGATATGGGTAAAAAATGTGAGTGAATTGATTTGTATGGAATCATGAACTCATAAGAAAAATAAGAAGAAAATGTGCTGCTGAATCAAAAAGAATTAATTTTTAATTTGCATTTTACTAAATCTCACTTTTTAAATGAAAATTCTGTTAACAGTAGTACAGTGAAATGGTTCAGGCAAAAAATTGCATTCTTTTGTTTTGTGCTATTCTCCTTAAGATAAACATCCTTTTTATGATTTCCTCCCTCTCATTTCCCTGCCTCTTCTTGATTTTATACGGTATTTTCAAATTCATTGAAACATTATTTTTTTAAGGTTATCACCAACCTTGGGCCTCTGGAGTGGATACTTAATACTCCCAGTCATCACAGAGTTCATCATGGTAAGCTAAAAATATAACCTCTTATTCCTCAGTGTGTTTTTTCTCATGGTTGCTATTTGTACAATAATGTTAAAGTGCTAAAATTGTACTGTAAAATTAGTTTTACAGAAGGATTTTAATTTTGTTCATTGCTTCAGAAATAGTACTTGTTCAGTTAGAAATTTCACAGTATTTTAAAAAACTTTTTAATAACTTTAATTTAATTTTAGAATTTTTATATTAAAGATTAATTATTAGGCAGAAATTAAGCCTAGATAACGTAAAATAATTTGAAGACTTTGAGCAAAACAATTCGACATTTGCAAATATGGAGAGTGATAGAAAAAAATCTCATCCTTCCCTGACTTCTGAAACTTCATCACCTTGTCAATCACTAACAGATGGTTTTGCATTCAAATTCAAGCACTGAATGCGCAAAAAGATTGTTACCTTTTAGAAGAACTGTTAAAAATTTTAGTGGAATTTGGTTTCAGCTGTCTGAATTATTAAAAAATCTCACTTTACATGGGTGCATGATGATTGACTTTTTATCAATATTCAGAGGCATTCAAGACTGTACTGCATATATGAATTGTATTATTAACTCCACTGCGTACTGAAAAAATGTCATGAACATATCTGAGGAATAGACGTGGATTTCATAGATGCCCTTGGCTCATTCAGTGTGCAGAGATAACAAGTAATAAAGTAATAGGGGAATGGAAGAACAAAATAATTTGAAACAGACTCAAATGTAGTTATATGTACAGAGGATGTTGTTAATATTTATTATATCCTCCACGTGTAAAGCGTTTATGGCACTGTGTAGACTTTTTAAAAAGACTGTGGTGCTGTAAGTGTTTAATTCTTAAAATTTGCACAAGTACTGGTAATCCTGGAGGGAGACACTCTGCTCTTATTTGCTCTGCTGTAAATCCAAACTAATCCTCTGATCCTGATCGCAGTTAGGCAGAATCACTCTGGGGTTGATCAAGTGTTGTACAGTTGGTCCAGACAATCTCCACGAACTCGGGGATACGTAATCAATGTTTCTTTGCTCATACTTTTGATAGGACAGCTTATATACAAATACATTCCCTAGAAAACAGATTGAAAGATCAGTTTTCCTGGCACTGAAGTTAATAATAATGAAGGCAGGATCAGACATCTGGCATAGAAGACAGAGACAGCTGTAAGCCATTAATGAGATGGTTGCACATAAATCTATTTAACATATATTTTCTTAGATATGTAAACTGGTGAAATGATTTTTTGTCTGCTTTCTAATTTGTCTTTATAAATACGCTTTGAACTGAGTTTACTCTCCAAATGAATCCTTTTATTCCACAGAAATTTTGTGTATCATACATTTTATTTGTATGTTTGAATCTGAGTAGAAAGCAACAAAACTAGCAAGAAAAAAGACATTTTATAGGTGTATAAGGAGTGGTGGGTTAGCTAACTTTTAAAATTATTTTTAGATTATAAATTCAAGCTAATGATGAAGATTTCCCTTCATAATTCAGCTGCATGTATTCTTATATGTGCAGTTACTGGTCTCATAAATGATTTTTATGACAGGCAGAAATCCTTACTGCATTGACAAAAATTACGGCGGCACACTCATTATCTGGGACAGGATATTTGGTAAGTAAACAGAAGGTGTTCTGTCTCGTGTTTAATTAGTGTGGCAAAAAATATATGTACTTTTGAATTTGATTGTTGGTTGTTCTTTATTTTTTCTTCTTCAATCAGGAACTTTTGAGGCAGAAGACGCAAAAGTTGTATACGGCTTAACACATCCAGTAAATTCATTTGATCCCATCATGCTCCAGGTGCTATACTTTGTATCTTCAACAGGCACTAATGTTCAAAAGAAACTCCTCTTTTAGGCACAGTTGAGGCCATCCTTGCATCGCTGCACGGTCAGTTAAAATATCTACAATTCTTCAATGTTTCATCACAAGACGATTATTTCTACTCACTGAATTGAGCATATGCAGAGCTTGTAGTCATGAAAATACAATACAGTAAAATTAACAACTAATTACAATGATGATATGACAAGCCTTGGACTGAATGATGTCAGTTTGGCCATCTGTAGAGCAATATGCAGCAAAGCACAGACAAAAATATATATTTGGCTGTTTTTTTGTTTTCTCTAAATCTTGCTATTTCATAAATAATCTCATTGTGTAATATCTTTACTATTTTTATCTCTTCTGCATATTTGCTGTTCAAGGTACTCCAGGAAAAGCTGTATTGACACATTATGTAGCAGCCATCATGATCTCAACAAAACCTCCAGAACAGGTTGAATATAGATTTTCTTAGTTAAAAAAAAAAAAAAAAAGAAAATAAAAAAGAAGAAAAAGTACCTAGTGTGGTGGTCCGTAGATTTGTTGGTCCAGGCTTCACTGAAGCTGGATAAAAATTCTCTGCAAAAACCTCAGGGATGGAGGAGTATTGAAGTCCCCATTTTCTTTTTGTGACGGTTCACCCAAGGAGGCATCCCAAAGAATGAGGAATTCTACCTGCAGGGGTGTCTGGGCTGGAAGCTGGAAGGATGGCCACAGCCTATGCAATTGTATCCATTCCAGTCAGATACTAAATAATTTAGTTATTGAGAGTATGTCATGTCAAGGTCTCAGTAACCAAATTCTAGTTTAAAACTACCGTAAATATAGCTATGTAATATACCATTAAATACTCTGGATGGATACAGGAAAGACAGGTCGGAAGTCGTTGTAATCCTCACTCTAAACCAAGGGCTTGATATGGCGTCTGCCTATTTCAGTCAGGTTTTCTGAACTACTGACTGCCTTCATCTATTCCTCATTTATTCGCTTTACAGACTTTGAAAAATCATTTACTTAAGAGCTGAGAATGAATAAAATATAATTTTTTATTAAATATTATTTTACTAACAATGAAAAATTGCTTGCTCTTTTTTTCAGTTACGTCCCTTGGTTCTTATTTGGAACACGTTTTGGGCCACACCTGGATTCTGCAATAAGCTTTCTGTCATATTCAAAGGGCCAGGCTGGGGACCAGGCAAACCTAGACTTGGCCTTCCTGAGGAAATCCCAGTGGTAAATAGAACATGCACAGGCGTTCAGTTTTGTGTAATTTACTTGGACCTCTTAATGCTACTGGATCAATGTTAAAAACTCTACACATGCTATTTTAAATTAGCAAATTAGCAGTCATAAAGCATAGGGGAAGACGAAATGGGAACAGAAACTGGAGGAAATGAATGTTTTAGCTGTGTTTGTTTCTTTTTATTTGAAGGAAAAAAAGATATTTGTTATTTATCTTTTCATTATTCATTTCCTGAAGAGATTTTCAAAATTGTTCTATAGAGTATGGTAGTTTTTCTTTTAGCTGTGAACCTACACACATACACACAGAGTTAAATACTGTCTCACAGTAGGTAGTACATAAGTTTGATAGTTGATTATCTTTGTGCAATTTTCTACGTCCCTTAATTTTTTTGTGTGTTTGTAAGTATAAAGAATACTAAGGAATAACAGGTTGGAGCGGGTCACTGTAGAAGGCTATTATCTGTTTTGCTTCTTACAGATCACTGGAAAAGAAGTTCCCTTTAATCCAAGTATACCAGCTTATTACAACTGCTATGCGGTTGTACATTTTGCTGTAATAACGGACTTGTATACTGAACTTCTTGGTACTGTGGCTGTAAGTAGTTCCTGGTTTTTTGAAATAGCATCTTAAGCTAATAGTAATAGGACACACAACATATTTAAATAATAAAGCATTGAGTAGAGGCTCTACAGCCTAACTCATATCTTATTTCAACTATTATAATAATAATTAGATTCTGTAAAAAGAATCAAAATAAATGGCTACAAATATAGTTATATAATATGAAACATATAATGTTAGCTATTGTTTGTTAAACAATATTTAATAACTATAGTATTTATGTACAGATGAATGTGCTGAAGTTAAGCAGTTAAAATAGTAAATATTCTGTAAAAGACGTATGTGTCTACTTCGGTTTCTAGGACCTCATGAGAGGAGAAATGTATCTCAGATTTCAAAATATGTAGGTTTTAAGATGTCAAGGTTGGTCATATTGTTAGATGCTCAAGCTTCAGAAGGAAGATTTGAAAGGTCTTGTGGTGCTTGCAGGAGGGAAGCTTGGTGTCAGAATGAGTTCAGAGTTGGAGGAGCACAAACTCAGGTCAAATCCTTCTTGAAGTCTTGAACATACAACAACATTGATAGAAATATAGCAAGGAGAGGCAGATATTTACTGCCTCATGTTTGGGCTGACAGGATCTCCCTGTTAACATGGTGTGGTTCCTCCACGGATACATGGCAGTTTCTGATGGTGAACTACGAGGTCATGTCTGCCTGCAAGAAGTGAGACATTAACTACTTCCATGGCTTCACACCCTTCCAACCTTTTTTTCATTCTTTCTTCCTTGACAACTCTTTATACTATACTAAAGCTAAAATCTTACAGTTTTGAAACACAATTCTAACACATGTAATATTCCCACAGATCAGTCAGAGACCTACCAAAGCACCACAGAAGTCTATCAGTTTTATAAAATGCCGTTTGGCCTTCTTCTTAAACCCTTTCTAAGACCTCCTTGGTTGAAGAGCAGTCTTGTTGTTATGTTTGTATCACCCATCGCCACAGGCCTGCTGTCAGGGTGCCAAGGGCCACCTGGGTTCTTCAGCCTCTGCTCACCTGTGGACCTGCCTTGTCCTGGTGTGCTCACCTGGCGATCTCCGACCCTCGGACAGCAGTGGTTACTGTCCCCTGTCCACCTCAATGGACACTGCAGGACAGTGCCTTTCCCGCTGGGGCCATGGCTGCCACCGGCTCCCGGCCCCTTTCCCTGGGACCAGCGCCTCTCGCTGTGCCCTGACACCTTTGCCCATGACCAACATGTCTGAATCCAGCTAAGGGGCAGATTTCTAGAAATAAGTCTTGTTTGCGTATCTGACCACGACCATCCATGAAGGATTCCAGAGGACTGCAAAATCATTGCAAAGCTGTCAGAAATCTTGGCCAAACATTGATGTCTTGGTCTTCTGACTTGGACATTCCTTTTGCCTCCCAGGGCAGGAAGGGCAGGAGAAGGACTCTGCTTGCAATAATTTCTTGGGATATGTGGCAGCAGGCTTGTAGCAGCTCTGGCAGCTCTGCGTATACTAGCTGCTACAGACCATTTTTTTCCATGTTTTTGGTTAGATGTACTCTGAGTACCACATCAGACCAGTAGAATGATGCAATTTTTGAGAAAAGTTTAAAAAGCAAGTATTTTATGTAGCATTCCCAATACAATATAGAAGCTACCTCAGGCATACTCTTCTGATTAATATGAAGTTATTCTACACATCGTGTTCATCTCTATAAAGGGTCACACTGCAACTGCAGGGAATTTGGAGATTACTTAGCCATCTGAGGCTTAGTCTGTTCTAAGCAATTTCTGAGGACAGGAAATTAAGCCAAAGTAAGGATAAATACCTCCAGTGTATACCAAATATATGGTACACATGATTGTCATTGTTCTTCTATCGATACAAACCTCTGCAAGATTTTCCGGATATGCTTCTAGATTCCTACATACAAGAAACAAGTCATAGTTGCATAGGGATCAACTCTGGGTTGTATGGTTGTTGTGTTTATTTTTTTTTTTTACTTTGTTGCTGTGGCTTGCAGCAGCAAGAAGTAAGGAGTCTGCTGAAGAGTTTTTTCCTATTTTATTCTTTTCTCTTTTTGCCTGTTTCTGGTCCTGGAAGGAAAAATCGATGGTCCAAATTATTTTCTCTGCTGATAACTGCAGCTGCCTAAGAATAAGGGAAGTTGAAAAATGCACCCAAGCCCCAGATGATCATTAAATTCTTGCAGTCATGGAGCAAACTTCCTGAAGATCCACCATTTATGGACTTATTGTAGAAAAATGACTAGAAAATTCTCTGCACAAAGCTGTGGGGTAATAAGGTAGTAAGGATAAGAAGGAGAGCACAGGGGACTAGAAGCACCTCATCTCAGGATGTAAACCTTCAGTGTGGGCGTAGAAAGTGCTGGTCCCAAGGCAGAGTTCCAGCATTGCTCTGCAGTACAGTGGGGAAGCTGTCATGAGAAGGAAGCTTGTGTATGAATAACTTTACTTGGCAAAAATCTTTCTTAAATATCACTTTTCCACTACACTGAGTTATGAAATGTCTATGGATACAACTGGAACTTTCTGTCTGGCTATGAATTATGTCATAACTGTGGCATAGCTCCATAAATGGAGAAAGCTAACTGTTTTCCTCATTTTTAGGTATAAGTTCCATTTCATAATAGCCATAAGACACAGCACACAGCTATTGCATTTCTCAAGTGATTACAGTTGCTCAGTGTTTGGTCTCACGCCCTGTAGAAGTGTTGAATTTCTCTATCCATAAAGAGCAACCATATACCTTCAGTCTGAATGACCTACATTTAACTTACGAAAAGAGCAAAACAAGAAAGAACAAATATATATTTTCCACAGGAGAGAGCATACAGTGTTTATTTTCTGTATAGTGATCTGCACTACATCCAGAGAATAAAAATTACTTCTGAGCTCTGCACATCTAGATCTGATCCAAAGCTCATTGAAGAAATGGGATTTGGATCAGTCCCAGAGAGAGTGCTAGGAGTGTAAAACTGCAGTACATTCAAAGCAAAAGTCTCATAGCTCCAGAACTGCATGTATCACATAAATCAAAGTGAAGTGTACCTTAAACACATTTTGCAGTGTCTTTTTTATTGTTGATAGTTACTGTAACATTTACAGTGCTTATAATGCTATGAATATGCGAGCAGTTTCAGTTAGAAGAAAAGTAGTAAGGGATAAGATAGATCTCTTAAAAGCTGAGAACACAATTAATATATCCATTCAGTAGGCCATCACCAAGTACTGTATGTGGAATATTGCTAAGAATTTACAATTTTTTTTAGGAATTCTAAGTTAAAATAAATTCATACAAAGATGCCTAATAATACAAATTTCATAGCATTGCATTAGTGTTCTTCGTTTGAATGTCGAAAGTGTCTGATATGTGACAGCAGGGCATTTGTTAACTTTTGAAACATACTGGCATTGTGCCGAGCAGTTATTTTGAAGCACTGAACGCATCAGGATGAGAAAATGCATGCATGTTATTCTTCAAATAAATAAAACAATCTGAGTTCTTTGAAATATAAAAGTCAATTTGGAATAATTCAGTGTTCATCTAAATATGCATTTGGAATAACGTATTTTCTTCGTTTAAATGAATTATTTTTTCAGTACTAAAAAAACATAATAATGCGGTGGCATTCTGCTGATTACAAAGTCATGTAAACTTCTTCCCAAATTCTATAACTGTCTCTCCTTTTTCTTAAGGCTCCAAGATATTTTTAAAGGTTTCAATGAAGTAAAAATCCAACAGAAATATTTTTTTCTGTTTGATTGCAGCCAATAACCACATTGCAGATTTGTGGCTGAGGTGTAATTGGGGAACCTGCTGTGGTCCCACAGGCTTCTCTGTTTATGCAAATACTCCAGTATATAATACTCATTTATTTTATATATACATCCATGCATATTATGTTTAAGTGGAAAGAGGATGCTAGCACTAACGAAGATGTAAAAGGCACATTCTTTTCACACTGCAACTTGCAGTGTGTAGATTTAAAATATGATGTTTAGTTTAGTTTAGTGTTATAACCCACTGAGTATTTTGTTGATTTTGGTAGAGCAATGTCTAGAAAATGGATGCCTTAGCTGCCAGCATCCACTTCATAGGGCGATATAAGTTTGTAAGTAAATAAAAAAATCAGGGCAGCAAGTAACTATAGCACTGGAGCTGTAAAGAGAAAGTTATAGAAGAAAACTAATAGCTAAAATTTATGCTACATGGCTGGTTTTCTAAAAGCTGTTATTCCCAAATGGTGTCATGGTGTATTTCACCACTAATGTCTTGGTAGTCCTTGAGTATACATGAGGGAACCCATTTTTTTGCTGTATATGAATATGGTGCGTGTATCTACAGTGAAAGGTAACTTACACATTCTACCTTCGTGGTTCCCAGTAAGGCTTTATGCCTCACCCATCATCACTCCATAAAGCTGAAGACTTGGGAAGCGGAAAGTTGCAACACTACTCTGGCAGTACAGTGCCATGCATTTGTGTGAATCTGATGATAGCGCTAGTCTGCAATTAACTGTGATCTGCAGGTTGTGCTTTAGAGTCCTCCAGTCCTTCACATTCTGGGTCACAGATGGTGTTGGACCATAAGAAGTTTTACAGACAGCTGGTATTCAAAATGTTATGGTTCAAGTAGGAGAGCGTCTGAAGAGAGATGGAAATTAGCATGAAAAACAGAATCTGTAAAATACAATCATACCTGGCCTAGGTAGCTGTTATGCCAGAGAACCTCATATAGCATTTTACCCATTTAAAGATAAAGGCTGGTTTCTATTTGAGTTTGATTTTCCTAAATTATAAAGTTGCTTCAGTTCTTCTGATTTACTAATATGTATCAAAATGTATTTCTATTCCCTTTTTTTTCTGTAAAGCCATGTTTAAAACTGAATTGCAATTTATAAATTTCCTTTCAAGCTCTTAATCTATGTTTTTTTCTTCTGTGGTTAGATAAATGTGGAGAGTCAAACAATAACTCCAGACTCCAATTTTGCACATCTTAGAGAAGATGCTTAAGAGAAGTTTGCAAGGCCACACTCCAAAGTCTTGTATTCAACCCTTTCTTTCTTTATGGAGAGAAAGCTGCAGTCTAAATTGAAATATTACAGTGTCTCTAATATCAAACTTTTCATTATTTCGAGGTCCATCAATAGCAAACTAGTAGAACAACAATAATAACAATTGTTATTGTTTCCTGAAAATATGTTATTTTTAAAAAAGTAATTTTAATTTTTTTTCCTACTCTTCTACAAATGGTAATTAAAATAAGTCTTTAAGAAAAGAAAAAAAAAATGGAAATATGAGAGAAAACACCAGTAAAATATGACCCAGAAGTGTCTGCTTTGGAGAAGTGTTTCCATCATCCACTCAAATCCAACTCTTAGTACAAGGACCAAATTTAGCTTCTAGACTTGCATTCTAGCTAATGCAAGAAACAGAATCATTCAGAAAGTGATCTGTCTCCACTGATTACACAGAAAGCTTAGGTTAATTACAGGCTTTTAGGCACTGCAGCAAAGGTACTGAAAGGAAGGTGGAATGAATCAGCACCTCAGTTTTTTGAAACTGGAATCACAAGGAAACCCAGATGCCTAAGACGTGGTAGCTGGTTGTCTAATGCTAGCCAGCTCAGAAACGCTGAGAGGGCAGAAAAGTGTGATATTATGCACCTCTCTTAAAATGGAAACTGGAGATGCCCTTATTCATTCGTAGCAGGTACTGCTGGATCCTTCCTGAAGACAAATATTAACATTTGTCAAAAACATTGCAGCTTCATTCATTTACCATAAAGTGTGATTTTAGCCATATATTGTAATGTAGCAATTACATAACTTGCTTGAAATTTGGATTTGATGTTCAGTTCTCTTTCCTGCCTAACGGGGATACACAACCTTATGTTCCTTTTCTGAGAACAGTGCCCTACCACTGTGGGAGCGTTTTTAAGGCAGTCTGTAGAAGCTAGTGCATTGCACTGGAAACTCAAAGCAAAATTTGACCCACCTGGCCAGAAGGACTAGGTTTAAAAGAATGTGTAATTCTCTAACTTAAAAGTGCGGACAGTCTCTAAGGAGGAAAGTCTTAAATTCTAGTCCTAGTTCCCTGGAAAACTCCTTTATCTCATAAGTAACAATCATTGAAAAACATATCAAAGCATTTCTAAGAAATCTATGGGTGAGTTCCCTTATGCCTGTGCCAAATCAGATTTTTCTTTGCTCGCTTCTTGAATTTTGTATAACCCAGTTTCTACAGGAAGCTGAAGTGGGAGTCGAACTTTCAGTGGCTAGATGAGCAGTTTAAGAACTACTCATTTTATTAAACTTAATAGAGTCTGTGCCTGATTTTTATAAAAAAGCTCTGTCCAAAAATTTTGTCACTTCAGAACAGCTTCATGTTAACAATGGAAAGGCTTTTAAACTTAGGATAGCAGTCGAATTTGTTGGATTCCAGAAACTGAGGTTTTCAAAAAGAGCAACCTCAAATTAATCTTTTATTAACAAATTTTAAACTTGTATCTGGAATTTGCAAATGTATTCCAAGGGATACAAATCTTGATAAAGATTATACGTCCATTAGAGCATTTTTTGCTTTCTTGACTTAAGCAAGAATCTCAACACATCACTGCTATATTGAGTCCCCCCACAGTTCAGTATCTAGCTCAATATCTTGTCTACTGTGATGGCTGATAGCAGATGCCTGGTGTAAGAGCATAAGAATAGAGTGAAAATCCTTTCTCAAGATCTATGTAAAGTAGATGATGGTGGTAATCATCAGTCTGAGGTTTTGTAAGTTTATCATTAGGAAGGATGGAACAGATTGGAGTAATGAGTTTGATCTATCCTGGTATAAATCTGTGCAACAGAGTGGCTTGGCAGGTGTCATTTGTGAGAAGTGTGTTCTGGCTTGTAAACTGGTGAGGCTGCTGTTTAGCTCGCTCGTTGCTGGGATTGTGTTTTCTTTGTTCAGTAACTGTTTGTTAAGGATATCTAAGTAGGTGCTTGTTATTCTTCAGTAAAACAACAGAAACCTGCCCAGCCTGATTGTGTGGTTTGATGTGTTTTGCAAACATGGGCACTGTAAATTCACACAGCTGTAAAACTTGAGAATATCCTCCTGTGGCCTCCCACGCTCACAGACACTTACCTTAGATCTCTTCCAGGGGTAGGGGCCACCGCTGAAGGAAGGTGGGCAAGTCATTGAGTGCAATTTATTGAAATCAGGGCAGACATTCATAGATTTTTATTTTTTTCAATGCCTGCAGTCTTGAAGTGCAAGATGCTGTTCATAAACCTTATTGACATTGAAGCCAGAAAGGATTTCTGTAACTCAGCCAGATCCACTACTTTTGTTTTGGATTTTTTGTTGGTTTTTATATGAAAAAACAAAGGCTTTTCAAAACTAATATTTGAAAGGAAGTCAGGGAGGGAACAAGAAAACTGATTAAATATTTGATTTTCAAAAGCAGCTGAGCAGAATACAAAAAATATTTAATAAATGAAAATAAAAAATTCAGACTCCACAATGTAAATAATTTCTGTTTTCCTGAGTTTTGTTTATATCGTTTGGATGTATAAATCCTCATGCTGCTATTCGTCCAAGTACTAACGCACATGTTAATGTTTAAAAGTGTTTTAAGTCTGATTGAAGTTAGTGGTATGAGTTGAAGAGTTTTGCTGAATTGGGAACCAAGTGTTGAGTTGTCATGAAGGGACAACATTAATTTTGTTTCTTCTTAAATATAGTCATGCCATGTGAATACTTATTCTAACTAATGTATTGGTTTGGTATCCATCAGGATTCATAGATGACTGCTGTAAAGACCTGGTGACATAAGGTGAAGTAAAAGAACAGGACTGCTGGGATTTTTATAGAGGAATAGGTTTGTTCCCTCTTGGATGAAGGCATAAGGGGATCAGGTAACTTCACGAAAACATGTAGTGCAGGAGGGAATATCTTAAACGTTGTTTTGGAAATACAGCATTCAGGAAACAGCTATAAAGGTTGTTACTCCAGGTAAGTGTGCTATCCAGAGTAGATATTTTTGTTGTAAAATTTCAAGTAACAAATTACTTCAAAAGCAGACACTAACATCACTGAATGAGGAAGTTGAAGCTACTGTTTTGTTGAAACTCAATTTCTCTTCAGAAAATTACTCTAAATTAATTCTTTGTCTACTTTTTAACAGATGTTATCACAGGGAACTGTTGTCCTGAGAATTGGCTTTATCATTCTGTCCCTGACTTCTTTCGGGCTGCTTATGGAGAACAGGTAAGATACAAAACACACTTTTTTTTTCTTCTCTCATTATGCATTATTTATCATTATATGGAAATCTAAAGTGTGTCAGAAATTATATTGATAAAGAAATATAGATGCACTCAGACACATATGTTGCTGTTGACTAGAAAATAATACATGACTAGCCAGCACCTAAAACCCAGGAGTGTTCTCATAGAGATTAGTGGCTATATCTATATTGTTCCTTGCAGAAAAGTTACGGGATGGGCTACTTGCGTTAGCCTCTGTGCTTGCATTTGTTGCATCCACTCTGGGTTTGTGACACTGGCAGGCCAGTGAGACCTGCAGGCTGTCCCAAGGCTGCTCAAGCTCAGGCTGCAACCATACTGTGTCAGTCCTGTGTAGCATGCCATAGGTGTCAGATACAGTGATGGTATATGAAGAGCATATAGTGTCGCTCAGAGTAGAGTCAAAATCACGTGAAGGATAGTGTAGACTGAAGACTGAATTTAATCAGCATGGATTCAAATCAAACTGGATCTTGAATACACCAGTCCGGTGAGACGTACACTACTGAAGTAGTCCATACAGGCACTGTGGCCCTACAGAAGAGTAAACAGCAGCTACAGTTTTTTACAAAGAAACTATTTCTCTACCAGAGCAGAAACGTGGAATGGAAGCTTCCTTTAAGACTGAGGTGTCAGTTCCGCTTTTCACCTACTGTTCATTAGGTTTTCAGAAATGAATACCTTTCACTTGTGTGGACTGAACAGTTTATTTCAGGATAGGTAAAAATCTGTCAGTATGCCAGAAATGTATATAACTTCAGGAATTAATAATTAAATTAATAATAAAAATTTACAGAAATAGACCAATGAAAAGATTCTGAGCTACTCATGTAGCAGTTTTCAGAATTTTGCTGTTGTATTTTTTGAGATCAAAAGACAATAGCTGTACATACAGCTACATTTGTGTGAGCTCAACTACAGTTTGTGAGTATGTGTATTCTCGCCCCCCATCAAATTCAGTGTTAGAATTGCATTTAAGGTGTGTACTGTAAGAACTTAACTATAACGTTAAGAAAGCTGACTTGATGTAAGTGCAAGAAGTCACAGACTATTTCTACATGCTCTTTTTCACTGAAGTTAACAAAATATAAAAGACTGGATGTTAATCTGAATTTCTTCTCATTTCTAGGCCCAAAGCAGGAATTTTGGAAATCATCCGCTGCATAGTCTTCATAGGTGTGTACAAACTTGGCTACTTAAGGAGTCAGTTTTCTTCCTTGGGCTATGCATATGAGGTAAGATGTTTATTTTGAAATATCTGTGCTGATGACTCTAGATTTTTTAGATTTAGAAAAACAGAGACACTAAACATTTTTATTTTGCTTCCTTATTTTTTATTTTACTACTTGGGTCAAATATTGATTTTTTTCTCAGCTCTTTATTTTTCACTTTTTGTGATTAACTTTTAGGAAAATTATTGGGTTTTGCTACAGAGGTGCCAATTTCCATTGAAAAAAAGTCAGGAACGTGTACGTTTACCATTCCTGCAAAAATAATATATTAGTGGCCATATGCTTTAAAGTGAATAATAGAAATGTGTTGCTGACTTTGAATTGATAAACACACCTTTCATGGGACAGATCTGAAAATGCTTAGAGGCTGGAAGAGTCTTAAATATAAAATATTTTGTTCTGTACTTATACTGTACCTCAGAAACAGACTCTTAGCCATTGACAAAGATAGGATGCTGGACTAAATAGACCTTTGGTCTGATTAAGTATGATTGCTTTTGTGTTCTTAGGACTTATTTTTATCCTATTTGTGACTTTTGCTGTTTACCTCTTTCTTTTTCAGTACATTTGCTTTCTCATAGTAACTCTTTTACTATTGTCTGAATTAAATAACACTGAATCATTAATGTGATTCTGATCTGATCTGAATAACATCCCCGTGCACCTAGTGCTGGTTACAAGTAAAGACAGTTATCAGCAAGGTTACGAGCAGGTTGCTAGACTAGTAGAACTGTTATCAGAGAGTTGCCTTTTGGCTTAAAACCAGAAAAAATGTGATAAACCAGTAGAGACTGAGACTTAAACTGAGTTCAGAATGGTTGCTTTGACTTGAAACATCTGCACAATTCATACCAACGTTCTTAACTCAAGGTTTCTGATAGTGGTGCGGATTCTCCTACTTTTCTAAGAGAGCAGGCAATAGGAGACTGGAAAAATATCTTATGCTACTGTGGGTCTCTTTTTTTCTTTTTTTTTCCTTTTGTCTTTTCACCTGAGATAGGAAACAATAACTATTGGACAGTATTTAAAGCTAAATAAATGCCACTAATCAAGAACTGGTGTGAGTTTTTACTCATATTGTTACATTGTCAAAGCTTTGGTGTACAAATCAAAGGGTACTGGAATTCCTTTGATAAAAGTCTGCCAGAACTCAGCAGATATTTTAAGGATTTTACTTGCTTAAATATAATTTGAGAAATGTTTTTTATTGTTTACTGAGTAGCCCACTACAATAGAACTGTAGAGTCATAGAATGGTTTGGGTTGGAAGAGACCTCAAAGCCCCATCCAACCTGGCCTTGAACACTTCCAGGGAGGGGGCATCCACAGCTTCTCCGGGCAACCTGTTCCACTGCCTCACCACCCTCATAGGAAAGAATTTCTTTCTTCTATCTAAATCTGCCTTCTTTCAGTTTAAAGCCGTTATCCCTTGTCCTATCACTACATGCCCTTGTAAAAAGTCCCTCTCCAGCTTTCCTGTAGGCCCCCTTCACTTTTGTGGCCCTCCTCTGGACCTGCTCTGACAGGTCGCAGTCTTTTCTGCACTGAGGGCTTCAGAGCTGGGCGCAGGTACTCCAGGTGGGGTCTCACCACAGTAGTGTAGATGGACAGAATCACCTCCCTTGACCTGCTGGCCACGCTTTGGATACAGCCCAGGATACCACTGGCTTTCTGGGGTGTGGGCACACGTTGCTGTGTCGTGCTGAGCTTCTCATCAACCAGCACCACCAAGTCCTTCTCCTGAGGGCTGCTCTCAATCCGTTCCCTGCCCAGCCTGTATTTGTGCTCGGGATTTTCCTGACCCATGTGGAAGACCTTACACTTGTCCTTGCTGAACGTCATGAGGTTCGCACAGGCCCACCTCTCAAGCCTGTCAGGGTCCCTGTGAACTGCATCCCTTCGCTCCAGCATGTTGACCACACCACACAGCTTGGTGTCATAGGCAGACTTGCTGAGAGTGCTCTCAATCCCACTGTCCATATCACTGTCAAAGATGTTAAACAGTGCTGGTCCCAATACCGAACCCTGAGGAGTGCCACTAGTCATTGGTCTCCAAGTAGATAGGCCTGAGGCACATCATTCTAAAATTTGGCAATTAATTCTGTAGCCCTTGAGATACAGTTCTCAGACTTTAATTATTTAGGTATTCTAACTGAATTTGGGGAGAATTATATGTCAAAATGTATACTCTCAGTTTAAAAAAAAATAATTCATGTACTTGCCTTGCTGAGGTGTGTTTGTGCATATGTAAATATGTCTCTTACTAAGAAGTGAGTAGAAGTAAAATTATCAGATTGTTATTTCTATTGTTTGTAGAGAACTATACACCTTCCTATTCTTTCATGAAGAAAATAAAACAAAACTGTTCTTTACGCATATCTGTCATTAACATTTTAACTTTATTGCCATTTTGAGGTCTTCCTTACTGTCCTTTCCTATCCTTTCTTCTGTCTGATGTTTCTCCTTTTATCCTTTATATTATGCTTCTCTGTTACTCTTTTTTTAGCCCATTATTTTGCACTGACTAGGTAGTCCATTTTTGACAAGAAAAAGGAGTACTTTGCTCACATTTTTTTCTTTTAAAATACTGAAAAAATAGGTATCTTCCAAATCATTTGCTCTCAGTGAGACCAGAACAGATAGTGCTTCTGAGTAATGCCAATACGTCAACACTAGATATTTACACATTATCACAGAATAATAAAATAATGTAGGTTGGAAGGGATGTTTAAAGGTCATCTAGTGCAACCCCTGTGCAATAAGCATCTTCCACTAGAGCAGGTTGCTCAGAGCCCCATCCAGCCTGACCTTGAATGTTTCCAGGGGTGGGGCATCTACCACCTCTCTGGGCAACCTGTCTCAGTGTTTCACCACTCTCATTGTAAAAAATTTCTTCCTTATATGTAGTCTGAATCTTTGTGATGAACTTCAAGGGTCTCCCATTTTGCTCCCTTTTGCTCTCAATGCGTTATACCATTTCTGGATTCATGATAGGAACTTTCTTATGGGTGATAATATTGTTGTAATGGGATTTATGATAAAAAAATTCGAGCAAAGGGAAACTGCCAGAGATTTGTAACTTCATGCTGAAAAGTCTTCAAATAACTTTGAACGTCTTGTGAGGTCCATAAACATAGATCCATCTCATAAGCAGTTTTTAAAATTTCTGCTACATATGTCCTAGTAAGTATTATCTGCTTGCTTTTCAACTTCCTTTGCTCTGTTTTGCTTTCAAATCTACTTATAATTTTTTGAGGTGTAAATTAAAACTTTTATTTAACCTTTTTATTTGCCTCATGTAAATATTCTGTCCTTAAAATGCACCTAGATTTAGCTGACTCTGAGTTTTTTAATGTTAAATCTTTAGTACTCATAATCTGTAATATACTTAAATAATGTCATCCTTATGTCACCATCCTTTACTACCCCCTCTTGGTAATGCAGGTTGGCGGGGACGAGGTAGCAGAAAGAAGTCCCAAGGCCATCAAAAGGGACTTCAGGGCACTGGGGCGACTGGTTGAGGGATCAGGGGCGCAGGTGGTGTTTTCCTCCATCCCATCAGTGGCAGGGGACAGCACTGAAAGGGGCAGGAAAACTCACCTGGTTAACAGGTGGCTCAGGGACTGGTGCCATCGGTCAAATTTTGGCTTTTTTGATCATGGGGAGGTATACACAGCACCGGGCCTGCTGGCAACAAGTGGAG